CCGAACAACAAGGTGTCCAGTGTAGCACTTACCAGTGTCAACTTTGGAGTAGGCAGACCTGTGTTCAAATTCTGACTTTAGTTGGTTAATGTTGGGCAAACCATCTAAATTCTCAATGACTCTGTCTTGTAGTCTATAGAATGAGCTTAGTCATGCCTATTTCAAAGTGTTGTTTGAAGGTTAAATGATGTACGTCAAATGGTCAGAATGATGATGATAAACACATTAAATGCTCAGTAGATGATCGCTTTAAAAAATGATCGTGATTTACAAACTGGATAAGTAAGTGAAGAACACATTAGGAAGAATAAATTATCGAATGAGTTATCTAAAAAATAAAACCCATTAACTCTGCCTTTAAGTGTGCATCCAAAAGACTTGTTTCTTTCCCTAAAATGCACTATCAGAGCTTCATTTCCACCGTTTTTGTTTTGTTTCCCTTCACAGAGACAACCATGACAACAACATGCTGCTCATAATTGTATTTTGAAGACTATTAATAATTTCGAACATTTTGTTAATCAATATTTAGTATATGTAGTGAGTGTATGGTGAAGTCCTAATGGCAAATGAGTGGATTACAAAATGCATTACAGAGAGTCCAATGGCCAGTAATGAGGATGTTCTGTCTGTTAGTTTTTGTTTGTTTGTTTTGTGTTGCTTTGTACTTTCTCAGGATCTGACTCTGTCCCTCATTGACCATCCTTCTCAGTAGTCTTGACTCTATAGTTACTTTCACCAATAGAATTATTGCTTCAGATGTGGGACATAACAGTCTCAGTGAGGTGACTCTATTTAGACAGAAATTAGAATACCATGCTCAAAAGGCATTTAAAACTTGAAATGCATTTAGAAGTGTCGATTAAAAGAAGTGGGATGTTTTGTGACAACAAAGAATCAAAGTACACAATGTGTTGCGCCTCTCCAAGCTGATGAATAGCAGTGAACATCACAAATGGATTGACTTACATAGAACAAAGTATCTTTGATGGAAATGCAGAATCTCACTAATCATTGGAGAAAAGGTCAAAGAAAAAGATGTTCATCATTACACGTGTATCAATTTTATATCCTGAGAAAGATTCTTTGATTTTTTACTCACATATATGATACAGAAAGTGTTTATGTATACACACACACACACACACACTTCCTGGTGGTGCAGTGGAAAACGCCTTGGTCTATGAACCCCAGATTGCTAGTACAAACCCACCAGATGCTCCACAGAAGGAAGATGAGTCTGCCTCCTTAGAAATTTGCAGTCTAAGAAGCCCTAGAGAAGCTTGGAGTTGCTATCTATATAATTTTATATAATTCTGTTGAGAGCTGCTTTAAAAACCGAAATTGTTTCTTCAGATAGTCTACAGGTTGCTGCCGTGTGGACCCCTACTCTGAGTGACCACAGGAGTGGCAGGAGAACTGTGTCCCACAGGAATTTAATGGTTGAGTATCTTGCAAGTTGCTTTCCAATTCTTTCTTCTGAAGTGCCCTTAATCCACTGCCCTCCAGTCGGTTCCCACCCCCAGCACCCCTAAATCCACAATGGAGAACTGCTTCATAGGGGCTCTGAGGCTGGAAATACTTAAGGGAGCAAGTGGACTTACTTTTCTCCGATGGAGGTTTCAAACTGCTGACTTTGAACGTAGCATCCCAACCCACTAGGCCACCAGGGCTCCTGGAGGCCCCTTTGCTGTTGTTATTGTTACTACAAAACTCACTGCCCTTGAGTCAATGCTGATCAGCACCCTGCCTCCCCCACCCCCACCCCCTCCATGGGTTCCTGAGAGAGTAATTGTTAAGGGTATAAAAAGCCGTCTTTCTCCTGCAGAGCTGCGGGGGCTCTCACACTGCCAGCCATGTGGATTGCAGCCCAACGTGGAACCACGACGCCTCCCAGGCTCCTGGTGTGGTTAGATGCTGCCAAACCAGCTTCCACTCAGAGGGACCCGATGTACACCAGAAGGAAACCCCGCCCAGCTCTGCATCATCCTCACAGTTTTTCTTAGGTTTGAGACCACAGTTACAGCCTCTGTGTCAATTCTTCTGGATGAAGGACACCCTTTGCTTTACTTTACCAAGCACGACTTCCTTCTGAAGGACCGATAACATGTCCAAGGTACATGAGGTGGACTTAAACATCCCATCTTTCAATAGGTAGCCACGTCTATTAGCTCATCAACTGCTAGCCAAAAGCATGGGACGTAGAGGCCACCATGATGCAACCCAAAAGAAGGATGGGTGCTCTGCTTCCAAAAAAGCCATCACTGAAAACCCTCTGGAGTACAATTCTGCTCTGATGTGCATGGGCTTAGTCTACTTTGGCAATGACTCTCCGGCTACTTGTTTGCTTCTTTCACTGATGTATAGTGGGCAGAAGGCTCTGTGTCTTGTCTCAAATCCTAGCTATCCCACACTCTATTGTTCATTCTGGTCTTTAAATAATATAAAAAATTAACACATTATAACAAATATCAGTCAGAGGAAGGGTTACCAGATTAATTGTTTGAAGTGTACAGCAGAGAGCATGTACATATGAATTCAGTCAAAATTCATGACCTGTCTGTGCTGAACTTTAGAGGTAAAGTGCAACTTCTCAATTTGCTTTATTTTTATTTAAAAGAAAAAAAAACATAAAAGACATATAACGTATATCTTCAACCTAATAAGAATTAACATACAAGCCCATCAACCATTTTGACAAATTTAGTAATACAAACTCTTGAAATAGCTTGTATTGCCATTCTTGGCTTCTGAATTTGGATCTTGTAACTTATTAAATATGAATCTCTAGAAAATATACAATTTTGTTACATTTGTTTTCAACATTATATAGCATATATTTCTAAAATATATACTTCAATTTAATTGTAAAATTTTCAATCAGTGGGGATGGGGCTCATTTTACAGTGACTATGTGGCAATTCTGTTATAAACATCCTTGCTACATGTGTGCAAAAGTATTCTAGGTCATATATCTAAGAATAGAATATTTTCCAACAGTTTTATTTGTATATAGCTCACATATCATACAATTCCATAATTCAATCACATATATCAAGAAACATTTGAAATTATCACCACATTCAGTTTTAGAACATTGGATTCATTCTTTTTTTTTTTAATCAATTTATTGGGGCTCATACAATTCATCACAATACATAGATCAATTGTGTAAAGCACATCTATACATTTGTTGCCCTCATTATTCCCA